TAYCATCAGTGAAGCAGAACTTTATGTGGGCTGAAACAGCCAAGGAAATATGGGAACAAGCAAGGTCAACTTACTCCGAACAGAGGCACTATGCTAGAATCTATCAATTGCAAGCCGAGTCTGCMACRTGTAAACAAGKGGAAAGAAGCTTATCCACCTACTATTCTGCCCTCACATCTATCTGGAAAGAGTTAGATTACTATCAGAATATTGACTGGGAGAGTGAAAAGGATGCCAAAGCCTACAAACAGTTAGTGTCACAGCAGCGGGTGTTTGCTTTTCTATTAGGACTTAATCCCATATATGAACCCATTCGAGTTCAAATTTTGGGCAGCAAGGATCTTCCCTCTGTCCAAGAGGTGTATGCACTAATTCAATCTGAGGAAAGTAGGAAATCTGCCATGAATCCTCCCGAGGGGCAGACCATTGCCTTAGCTGCAAGAGGTAATATAAATTCAGCAAGAAAAGGAGATGGTCAGAAAAGGGTTGATGATAAGGATAAACTGTGGTGCTCTCATTGTCAGAAATCCCGACACACATGGAAGACATGTTGGGAACTGCATGGCAAGCCGAAGTGGGCACAAGACTTAAATAAGAAATCAGCACAAGAACAGAACAAGAAACCAAATCAGAAAAGGTTCACCTCGGCTAACTTGGCCTCTCATGAGTTGCAGAGTGGAGGAACTACTATGAACTCTCAGGAGTGCCCCCCCTATGTCTGATCTTAAGGAAAATATTATCACTGCCTTTCGTGACCATTTGGAGCAATATGGTAGGGCCCTCACACAAACTGATTCTGGACCCACTCCTTCAACCTCTTTTGCCTCTTCCTCAGGTAACTTAGCTTCTGCATTCAATGTGTCTACTGATACCTTTGAATCCCCATGGATTATTGATTCTAGTGCTTCCAATCACATGACGGGTAAGTCAACCTTTTTCCAATCATACACCCTTCTTTCTGGCAAAGATAAAGTGAGGTTAGCTGATGGACCCTTCTCCTCCATTGCTGGTCGAGGATCTATATCTTTTCCATTTGGCTTACCTCTATCAGATGTTTTACATGTTCCTAAACTGCCTATTAATTTACTAATTATTAGCAGCATTACACACTCTTTGAACTGTTCAGTAACCTTTTTTGCTCAATCTTGTGTCTTTCAGAATTTGGCCTCCGGGAGGACGATTGGTAAAGGGAACATGGTGAATGGCCTCTATGTGTTGGAGAATAGAGTTGGTCTTGCGGCTTCAGAGTCTTTGAGTCAGTCAAATAAGAGTCAGGTTACTTTGTGCCACAATCGTTTGGGTCATCTGTCTTTTGAGTCTTTGAAGTATTTGTTTCCAAAATTGTTTAAGTCTGTGCCTATTAATGATTTTCAATGTCAAGTGTGTCAGCAAAGCAAGCATTGTAGAACTTCATTTTCTTTACGTAATAAAAAATCAGGTGTTTCCTTTTCCATTGTGTATTCTGATGTTTAGGGACCTGTAAATATTCCAACGGAGAATGGCTACAAATACTTCATATCTTTCATTGATGACTTCTCTCGATATACGTGGGTGAACCCCATGCACTCTCGAGACAAAGTTCCTAAATTTGTGAAGGCCTTCCAACGTATGTATACACACAATTTCAAAAGGAGATTCGAACTTTCCAATCAGACAATGCCAAAGAGTACTTTCATGGTGACCTCACAGAATTTTTTGAAACCTGTGGCTCTATTCATCATAATTCTTGTGCTCGAACCCCTCAACAGAATGGGGTTGCTGAGAGAAAGAATCGTCATCTCTTAGAGGTTGCTCGAGGGTTGTCGCTACACACAAATGTTCCAAAAAGGTTATGGGTGGATGTTGTTATGACTGCGGCTTATCTTATCAATCGGATGTCATCTCGTCTCTTGGAGTACAAGTCCCCTCATCAGGTCATCTTCCTTACAACTCCATTGTTTCCTATCCCTTTGCGTGTCTTTAGGTGCAAGTGTTTTGTCCATGATCTATCACCTACCCATGGTAAGCTAGATCCCAAAGCCATTGTTTGTGTTTTCCTTGGCTATCCCCTTTCCCGAAAAGGTTACCGTTGGTTTAACCCTATTTCCAAAAAGTACTTTGTATCCATGGATGTTTCTTTCTTTGAAGATGTGCCTTTTTTTTCTGCTTCTCCTCAGAGGGAGAGTCCAAGTGAGGAGAAACAAAGACAGGTTGTGTTGCCTTCTCCTCCTAACCCTCCTCCATTTCAGGTCTTTCGTAAACAGCGGTACAAAAGTCAAGGTCGTGATCAACGAAGTTCAATAGACACAGAGTATCCTGAAGTTGTGCAACCTAGGGCATCGAACTCTAAAGGGTTGAATCAATCACCGCATCTAGGTACTATTGTTCTATTTAACATCCCTGAGCCCATTGATATTGATACTTCTAATTGTGATCTGGATCTTCCTATTGCTAAGAGAAAAGGTGTCAGATCATGCACCACAAACCACCCGATGGCCCTTTCCTTATCCTATGAGCATGTTTCACCCTCTTTCTGTGCTTTCCTCTCTGCTATTGAAAGTGTATCCCTTCCTAAGAGTATTGCAGAAGCTTTACTTGCTCCTGAGTGGACAGATGCAATGAAGGAGGAGATTAATGCCCTTCACAAAAATGGCACGTGGGAGTTGGTAGATCTTCCTAAAGGAAAGGAACCTGTGGGGTGCAAATGGGTATTCTCTGTGAAACATAAGGCAGACGGCACAGTGGAGAGGTATAAGGCCCCGGCTAGTTGCAAAAGGTTTTTCACAGGTGTATGAAGAGAGAGCAAGGAAGAATAGCAGCTCAAATTGTATATGTCGATGACATTATTATCACCAGTGATTGGGACTCAGAGATACAAAGATTGAAGAGATTCTTGGCCACTCAATGTGAAGTGAAGGATTTGGGACCTTTACGTTATTTCCTTGGAATTGAAGTGGCCCGCTCTAATGAGGGTATCTTCATCACCCAGAGGAAATATGTTCTTGATCTCCTGAAAGATGCGGGAAAGCTTGGAGCAAAACCTGTCGACACTCCTATAGATGTAAACCACAGGCTCGGGGATTACAGTGATGAGCCCATAGCAGACATAAAGCAGTATCAAAGATTGGTGGGCAAACTTCTCTACTTATCTATGACAAGACTTGACATTGCGTATGCAGTGGGAGTCCTTAGTCAATTTATGCATGCTCCCAAGGCCACACTCTTAGAGGCAGCACACAGAGTTCTTAGATATTTGAAGAAATTCCCTGGGACAGGACTCCTGTTTGGAAAACATGGGCATATGAGAGTTGAGGTTTACACTGATGCAGATTGGGTTGGTTCTGTGGATGACAAAAAATCTCCTAGTGGATATTGTGCTTTGTTAGGGGAAACCTTGTTACTTGGAGGAGTAAGAAATAAAGTGTGGTGGCCAAGTCGAGTGAATAAGTTGAATATAGAGCCATGTCTCATGGTGTGGCAGAACTTCTATGGATAAAGAATCTCTTCGGTGAATTGGGCTTTCCTCTCAATGATCCTATGTTACTATACTGTGACAACAAGGCTGCTATTAACATTGCAACCAACCCTGTTCTCCATGAGAGAACTAAACATATAGAGGTTGACAAACACTTCATCAGGGAAAAATTGGAAAAAGGAGAAGTTTGCACTCCCTACATCAGCTCTGAGGAACAACTTGCAGACATCCTTACTAAAGGATTAAATTCCATGCGGCACTATAATCTTTGTGACAAATTGGGGATGATTGATATTTACACCCCAACTTGAGGGAGAGTGATGTAATCTTAGTTATGTGYCGCAGGGGCACTTTTGTCATTTTTACCTTTTATGTTTTATTTAGTCGCCCTAACTTATAAATACAAATTCTGGCACCGCCACCTTATCTTCGTGGTCTAAATCTTCTCGCCTCTTATTTCTCTCCTCTCTTCTTAAAAATTGGAAAAAGGAGAAGTTTGCACTCCCTACATCAGCTCTGAGGAACAACTTGCAGACATCCTTACTAAAGGATTAAATTCCATGCGGCACTATAATCTTTGTGACAARTTGGGGATGATTGATATTTACACCCCAACTTGAGGGAGAGTGATGTAATCTTAGTTATGTGTCGCAGGGGCACTTTTGTCATTTTTACCTTTTATGCTTTATTTAGTCGCCCTAACTTATAAATACAAATTCTGGCACCGCCACCTTATCTTCGTGGTCTAAATCTTCTCGCCTCTTATTTCTCTCCTCTCTTCTTAAAAATTGGAAAAAGGAGAAGTTTGCACTCCCTACATCAGCTCTGAGGAACAACTTGCAAACATTCTTACTAAAGGATTAAATTCCATGCGGCACTATAATCTTTGTGACAAGTTGGGGATGATTGATATTTACACCCCAACTTGAGGGAGAGTGATGTAATCTTAGTTATGTGCCGCAGGGGCACTTTTGTCATTTTTACCTTTTATGTTTTATTTAGTCGCCCTAACTTATAAATACAAATTCTGGCATCGCCAGCTTATCGCCGAAATCAAAGAGCAGTCCCACAGAGTCAATTATACCTAGTATTAAAATCTAATCCACCAAACCACTCTACCTGCAGGTATTTCAAACTTGAATCCGCATGGCAATAAGGTAACCCATAAATATGATATTCATGATAAAAGAATTAACTCCATCATTTTATTCTAGAAAACGGGTTAAATGCAGAGTAATTCACCCTCTCAAGATTTGATATGCTTATGCATGATATTTTATTCACCTTTACCTAATTGGCCTTTTTACTAACAAATTATCACCAGACCTGTGAGAAAATTCATAGGATTATGTCTCATGCATTCTAATTGTCATAATGTTGACTTTTTAAAGTTATTGATCAAAAAAAAAAATGTTAACTTTTTAAAGTATGAAAAACAACTTAGTTTTAATAAGTTAAAAATACCTAATGACTTTCACAAGTAACCACATAAAGTAGTTAAAACACTTAAATGATGGCATAAACTTGTAATGACTTTACGAAGTACCAAGATGGATATCAGTAGGCAAGCAAAAAGGAAGCCAACGCTCTAATTCCTCTGCCCATGGAAATCGCAAGATAGCAGGACAAACAACAAGTATAGGACCTTCATTCATAAAACAGCACGCAATTGCAATTGCCTGAGAAGAAAGAACAAGAGATCTATATGAACAAGTCCAGGATATAGAAAAAAAATATATATCTTAAAAAAACAACATTGTGTTCAATCATAAAGATTAGTAAGAAAGAACAACATTTGACAAGTATAATACGGTCTTTTGGACATAGAGATGAATCAGCACATTAGATGACTTGAAAGAAGAAGAAGAAGAATTGTTTATTGTATTATAGGTTTGAAGAGAAGAAAAGAGAGAGAGAGAGAGAGAGAGAGAGAGTGAAGGGAGGAGAAAAGAAAGAAGGGGTTCAGTGGTGAATAATCTACTACCCCATACACTCCTTTATTTATAGCTTTTAGGATCCTTACAAGAATAGGAAATATACAAAAAATAGAAACAATAAGGCCGGCCAGCCCAAATTAAAAGAAATTAGAAACTTCTAATAACAGAAATTAGAAACTAATTAAGCAAGGATCTCAGCCATAATACTTCTGCAACACCATTGGACATGGATCTGTACTCCGCTTCTACACTAGAGTGAACAACAACATTTTGTTTCTTGCTTCTCCAAGAAACAAGATTTCCCCCCACAAATGCACAATATCCAGAGGTGGACCTCCTATCATTAACACATCCAGCCCAATCCGCATCTATATACACTTCTATTTTCATATGACCATTATTCTTGAAGAGTATACCTCTCCTTGAACATCTCTTTAAGTAGGCAAGGATCCTTTCTACTACAAGAAGATGGGTGGTCCTAGGAGAATGCATGTATTAACTAACAACACTGACGATATAAGAAATATCTGGTCAGGTTAGACAGAGATAAAGAAGTTTCCCAACCAACCTTTGGTACATAGCCCTGTCCTCAAGGAGTTCTCCACTTTCTGCACTTATCTTATGGTAAGGCTCAATGGGAGTATGAGCAAGTTTCACTCCTAACTTGCCATTTTCTTCCAATAAGTCCAAAACATACTTCCTTTGTGAGATGAAAATGCCATGCTTAGATCGAACTATCTCAATTCCTAGGAAATAGTGTAACTTTCCTAGGTCTTTCACTTCAAGTTCCTTGTGAAGGTGTTGTTTAAGGGTTTCAATTTCACTAGTGTCACTTCCTATTATCACAATGTCATCTACATAGACTACAAGTAGAGTCAGGGAATGACATGTCTTCTTAAAGAAGATGGTGTGATCTGACTAAGCCTGTATGTATTCGAATTTGTCCAAAGCCAGTTTAAACCTATCAAACCAAGCTCTCGGGGATTGTATGTATTCGAATTTGGGTCAGAGAGGGGACCTCATCTCGAGAGTGCAAAAGATAGACCCATGAAAAACGGGTATAGTCATCAACAAATATTAAGAAATATCTGTACCCCCCCATGGTGAGAGTATGGTAGGGCCCCCAAACATCGGTATGCACAACTTCAAAAGAAAGGTTGCTTCTTTTATTACTTAAAGGATAAGATGATCTACTATGTTTTGCAAGTTCACAACTTTCACATTTTAACCTCGACACTTCTACTGACTCAAACAAATTTGGAAAAAGACTCTTTAAAGATCCAAAAGATAAATGACTTAAGCGGTTATGCCAAAGCATAATCTTACTACAAGACTGAGAAACAAACAATTTCCCTACTTTACTCTGCTCCCCCTGTGAATATTCCAGCAGGTAGACTCCATTCATCTCACGGCCAATCCCAATCACCTTCTTCGTTTCCAGATCCTAAAAAATACACTGATCAGGGAAAAAAGTTACCGAATAGTTTTGATTTTTAGTAATACTACTAACTAAAAGTAAGTTAGCACTAGCTTGGAAACATGCAAAGCTGAGGTTAGGGTGATGGTATCTGATAATCTGATGTCTCCCTTGCCAGAAATTGGTACAAGAGAGCCATCAGCAATAGAAACTTTGTCTCTCCTAGAGGATAAACAATAGGTGCTAAATAGAGTAGATATACTGATCATATGATCTAAAGCACCTAAATCTATTACCCGGGAAGGTCTAGTATTACCTAGGACAGAAGCATGACAAGCAGTAGCTCTTGTACCTGTATGAGCAAGGGCTGAAGTATGTTGTTGAGCTGATGTAGGCTAAGCTGAATTATTAAATTCATTTTCTAGCTGAGTCAGAGCAGCTCGAACTGCAGCTAGGGTATCTAGAGGAGTACCTCTTGTGCCTGATGAAGTTGTACTACCAGGGTTGACAGCCATATTAGCACTCCCTTTCTTATTTATGTGCTTTGCTGGAACTAGATGAGGGTGCAACTTCCAACAAATGTCCTTAGTATACTTAGATTCCTTGTAGTGTTCACATACTAAGTCCTTCTTAGCTTCCTTCTTCTCCTTATCCCACCTAGATTTAGGTCCAACTGCTACCAAGGCTGATTCAGAGGGTTGTTGCTGCAACATAACCTTTCTCCTAGTTTCTTCACTATGCACTAGGGAATAGGCTTGTGATAAAGTCACACTATCTCTTGTCAACAACTGTTCTCTCACAATGTCATATTCAGAGTTCAGACCAGCTAGGAACTCAAAAACTCTATCAGTTTCAAACTACTTTCTAATATGTTTGTGCATCTTTCTGACTCTCCCACTCAATTGTTTCAATATGGCCAATTTCATGCCACAGGGATTTTAAGGTTGAAAAGTAAACATAGACCTGCTTCTCTCCCTGCCTCAGATTTTTAACCTCACATTTTAGCTCATAAGCCCTAGCAACATTAAGAGGTTAAGAGTAAGTTTCCTTCATAAATGAATATTGGTTATGCTAAAGATGAACATGCTGATTTTTTGCCCAAATGATAGACCTAAACAATCCAAAGCTGGACTCTGATGCTGAAACAAAATTGCAAGTTATGGGGCCCTAGACCCATCAAGTTCTCCTGTATCCCTGGATCCAAGACTCAGACTACAAGAAAAGCATGAAGTTTCAAAGATAAGCATCCCTACAGTGGGAAAAAAATAGTTCAGTATATGAAGAGCATGAACCGAGCAGTAACTTTTTAAAGCCAGCAAAGAGTAAAAGAGGAACCCATTCTGTTCCCCCTTTTGATTATTATGGGGCTATGATGCATAAACAAGTTTGTTTAACATACAACCTGAAGAGTTTTCCCAAGGCCCATTTCATCTGCAATAAGACAGCGTCCACCACGTCGCAAAGCAAATCTCACACCATCAAGTTGAAAAGGTAGAAGTGTCTCTAACAGCATTTTAGGTAGTGACCTTATCAGAGCATCTACCTCAACATCAGACAAATGTTCCGGCCTGCATGGTACCCAACGGTCAACCACAAAGGACTCCGACAACTTCTGGACAACTATAAGTGTTGAGTTAGGAACCCCTTCACATTCGATATCTCTAGAACGCTTTAAACATTTAAGAATTGCTCCATAATCGTTGAGCTTATAAACAGAATCCTTCCCACCACTCGTATTTTGAGTATAGTGCGATGGAACGACCTAATCAAAATTCAAAAATTAGAAAGGTATTCCAGGGCAGCATTTGATAGACAATGTTAAATTGGTCAAATTCCTTTACTAATCTAATAGGTAAAATCCATGGAACAAGTACCATGACTAACGTAACCAAGAAAAACAATCCCACTAAAACCAATTACGAAAAGACCAAGATAAAAATCCATATCAAATCGACAAATTGCAGAATTTAACAACGATTGTAACTAAACCGCTGAAGACCTAGTTTCGAAGAACAGGAGATCAGCGAAGGAGTTCTTACAAAAGACAGGCACTCATTGAGCTTCTCCAGGCAGATGGTTTCCCCGGGGTAAGGAAAACCCGGCAAAGGTTCTGGCGTGACAGAAAACGAATCAGGAGAACAAATCTCGAGCCTAACGCGGAACCTGATGGGCGGAGGCGTATTGGGTTTCTGCAACACATCGGACAACGGGTTATCAGGTACCTGTAGTGGTCTGGATTCCTGCAAAACCTTACGGCATTTAAACAGCTTCCATGGATCTTCTCTCAACGCTGATGCGGCCTGACGCTTTGCAAGAGCAGACAGTCGGTTGGCTTCGGCTCTTTTCCTCTGCTCTTCCGAGATTTCCATGGACAAATACCAATAGATTTGAAAAGTGGTAGGTCGATTATCCTCAATTAGGGTTTCTGATGATAACTGGTGAAAAGGACGGACAAAGCTCGGAGAAGGAAGAAGCCATTTGAGAAATAGTTTGAACTGCAAGTCTGCAAGTGCAGCAGGCGGGAATTGCCTAGATAGTAGAAGCTGCAGAAATAGGTTGCAAGCGGATAATTGATTCGGGTTTTATGTTTTTTGTCCTGATTAATAATTGGATATTGGGATAAGGGTCGGGTCTTGCTATTCCGAATTCGATTCAAACTCGAACCAATATATGGATATCTCCCCTTTTAAAGTGCAAATTTTATAAAATAATATATAACTATGAGATAATTTGGTTAAAAACATCTTTTATTAACAGTTCAATATTTAAATTTTAGTTTTGTTATAATTATATTATTGAAATGAGGTTCTAAATTGCTATTATAATTGATATTTATAGATGCCATAATTGGGTTAGGCCCGATTGTATTAATTAATAATTGATCCAGTTCTAGGAATAAGATATTATCCCAAACAATACCCGACCCATGGCAGTTCTAAATGGGATTAGGGGTTCCATGTAAGGCTGCAAATTGGATTGCACAATTTGAAGAACTTTAATTACATTGGGTTCATTGGAATTTTAATAAACTTCCAACCCAAGTTGCAACCCTGATTCCATGAATATATTCAAACATCAGACATGGGTACGAGCCCACATTGATTGTGTTCCATTAGGGCTGGCAAATTTGACCCCAACTCACTTGATCCACCCAACCCGTCCATTTGTATAGTGGGTCAAGATGGGTCAAATGATCCATACAAGTCAAGAAAAAAGTGGTAGGGATGATTGGGTAAAGGGTTGCCCATTGACTCTCTCTTTGGGTTGGATTTATTCTCCTAAAACCCTCCCCCTCCCTCTCGTTCTCTTTCATGTCACCCTGCTCTTCCTCTCTCTCATGTCGTCGGTCACCCCTCCTTGGCCCCTGCCTCTCTCTCGCCCATATCTCTAAGTAAAGCCAACCACCGCACTTTCTCTCTCTCTCTCTCTCATGTCGCACAGTCACCCTTCTTTGCTTCTCTCGTCCAGATCTTCGATTAAAGCCAATTGTCGCATCGATTTCTCATATATATTCACCCAGATCTTCGATTAAAGCCGATTGTTGCACTGATTTCTCAGATTTATGGAAGGTGGACGTCGCACCAGGCACCACCCCTCTCCCTGTCTCATATGTTGAAGTTGGTTGCCGCACCACCACCACCACCCTCTCTTTACCACTCAAATCTCTGATTTGAATTAGCAAACACACTACCACTCTCTCTTCCTCACTCAAATCTCCAGATTGAAGATTCGAATCATGGAGACCAACTTTTGGAGCAATACATGATGTTTCAACCTGATATTGTCATTGTTTCGGGATAGTAGGATAAAAAATCAATTACTGAAGCGGAAACAATGTAAAATTTTCATTTTACATGAAAAAAATTTGATTTTTTACATTGGCGCAATCTAATATGAATATTATCCAATGACAAAATGCCATGAAAAAACTTTTGATTTTATTAATATGAATTTTTTGCAGTTTATGATTTGTTACAAATTTTTTTTTTTGAAAAATTTATAATTTTCTTGTTTTTTTTTACATTTCTTTTACTTTTTTGCATCAATATATAGATTTTTTAATATTCTATCATTTTATGTATTTTGCGGTTTCTGTTTTTATCCAATTTTTATATTTTATGAGTTTTTTGTCTTTTCCAATTTACTTGTATCTTTTTGCAATTTCTGATGTTTATCCTTTTTCTATGTTTTTATGTATTTTATATTTGAAACATATTTTTGAAAGTTTAATATTTTTCCATATCCTTTTAGTATATATGTGTGTGTGTTGTATTTACATTTTTTTTTGTAATTTTTTGCAAATTTTTATATTTTCTGTTTTTTTATAATTTCCTTTTTTTTGGCAATTCCAGGTGTTTTACATGAAATATATATTATTTACCATTTTCTGTGTTTTTATAGCTTTTTATTTTTTATTTGAAAAATTAAACTTTTTATATTCGTTTATTCTATGTTTTTATGCAATTAAAATAGAGAAAAAAAAACACTACTTTAAATTAGAGGGTCAAATGGGTGGGTTAGGGTGTGTCACCCATGGTCACCCACAGGCGTGGGTGGCAAATGGGTTAGTGGGTCAGTATGGGTGGGTTGGTACTCAACCCACGCCCAACCCAACCCACCCATTTGCCACCCCTAGTTTCCATATCTTTATGCACGCCCAATTTAATGGGAGCTAGAACTTGAGTGGCCCATCAAAAGCGATTTTGTGTTTGTTTTATGAGAGTTCACATCCCTGCCCCACAATGCCTCACAACACATCCCAATCGAGTATTAAAAACATTTCCCATTGATATGGTAGATGTTTCCAATACATGCTGAGATGTGCATATGGGGGGCGTTGCTGATGTGATATCGTTTTATGAGTTTGTATATGTTAAAATATCCTTGTTTTAACTTGACAAAAATATTAGAAGATGACTATTAAATTAAGTTTTTGTCAAATTAAAATAGGGTTATTCCAGTAATTTTGTATGTCAAATAATTTATAAAGGGTATAATGGGCATTTGGAAAAAGTGGTGCATTAGTCATAACATTTTATGTTTGGAAAGGTGGTCAAACCTTAGAGAGGCTTCCTACATACCCTCTAGTGAGGGATCAAACCGTTATAGTTTGCCAAAGCTATAATTATGGCAGAGGGGAGATGAAAAAAGTAAGTTGAAATGGGTATAAAGCTCCTATTTGTAAAAGCTTGGGTCTTCATATTCAAGATTATTCTTAGACATTTATCTTTACTATTTCACCCTGATTATTTCGGAATGTTTTAACACTTAATTAGGGATCTAATCTGCTGCCCATGAGTTGTTCTCACATCCCTGCCCACTGGACATTACAGCTGTGCATTGGGAATATCTCCCTTGTCATTCACTAGGAGATGTTCCCAGTACATGGCGGTGGTGTTCTATGGGTAGAGATGTGGGAACAATTTGTGAGTAGCAGATCCAGAGTGACTTAATTAACGCACATGTTTTTAATTATTGTTCTAGTGTGTTCTGATCATAAATACTCTTGACTAATGAGTTGGAATATTTCAACACTTAGGCTATGTTTGGTTTGAAGAAAAGTGTAGGGAAAGGAAGGGAAAAGTAAGAAAACCTTTACAAATCTTGTATTGGCTTTCCTGTCTCTCCCTTACTTTCCCTACCTTTTTCCTTCAAACCAAACATAGCCTTAGTATTCATCATATGACATGAAACAGACTAATCTGATCCGGGTTTAGGTTGGGTTAATGGCCTTCTATGGTCGATTGTCTTACACTTTGAACAGTCTTGCATATGTATTCGGGCAAAGGGGTATAGTAGAATCCGAGCTCTTCTTTTATAGCTTTTCATGGTGGTCAGAATTTTGGCTCAAAGTGAATGCTTGGTTGTTCTCTTCTGTTGTTTTTCTAGTGGGGTTTGGTCCAGGTTACATAGATTCAATCCTAACTTGATAAGTACATGCAGATAATCAATTCCAAACCATATACCTATAGGGCCTGTAATTGGAGCAAGCAAATAATCAACATCATCCAAGCCTTATCCCAACTATATGGGCAGTTTCAGCAGTCCCTTTCATTCAATGACATATCCAGTGTTAAATTATTGGTGTTCAAATAATTCCTTACTATTTATACACATGTCCTTTTTGTTCTACCTAGGCCCTCATAGCCCTTCAACTTGCAATAAATAACTTCTTATGGCTGGTGTTGATGGTCTTCTACACATATGACCAAATTATCATAGTATACTCTCTCATTTTATCATTTATTGGAGCTACTCTCAGGTTCATTTGAATAACTTCATTTCTTATCCTTAGGAATGGCAATGGGGCAGGGCGTGGCCGGTTTTTTGCATGCCTTGTTCCCGACCCCAAACACATATACCACACACCATCCTCTGCCCCGAATTGTGATATGCTCCTCACACCGACCTCATAGTCACATCCCACTGTGTATTAGGAACATCTCCCCATGAATAATAAATACCAATATGGGAGATGTTCCCGATGTACGACAAAAAATGCTATGAAGTCGGCGTGGGGAGTGCTTATTGAGGAGCAGATCCGGACTCCCCTGCCCTGTATCCCAACAAACTAGAAATCCCAACCCCATCCCCATCCTTGCAGGGAACAAGGATCTCCAAATTTACTCCACCCCACCCACTCATTCCTACATGAAAATATTTTTGTTAGAAAAAAAGCATATTACAATATGTTACATAATATAAAATATTATATATAAGATATAAAAGAATATAAATAACATATTATGTTACGCATGTCATAACATATTTATGTATCGGGGTGGGGGTTTGAGGCAGGGTGGACAAATACCATCCCTACCCCATCCCCCAGTCACCAAAGTTGTGGGTTACACCAAAACCCACCCTAAACCCGATCAGCAGTCAAAACACCACAATAACCAGGGTGGGGCAACTCAGAGCCTTGATGGGGACAAATTAGGGTGCCACCGAGGGTAGCCCAAACCCTATTGGCAACAGGATTTGATCCCAGGTCTCTACTATTTTTAAGGTTTTCAAAATCGAATTGGATAATGAACCATTTAGGGGTTTGATTCCCGGGTCAAAAAACTTGATCATTCTGACAAAAAATAGAAAATTAAAAAAGGTAAAAAATCATTGAACAATTTGAATTATTTAACCACCCAGATCAATAGTTTGTTAACCAAATCAATAGTTTTTGGCCAAAAATTGATTATAGGGTAAAACCAAACTGACCGATTCCCAATTTTTTTGATCCAGTTTTGAAAACATTGACTATTCCTATCCCTTTTGAACTTTGATATATTGGATCTTAATTGGTCTGTAACAACCAAAATCAATTGGAACACAAACCATACATTGAACCACATGGTGCAGACCCAGACTCTATAATTGTATTCGGCTCGATTTGGATCTGTTGGGTCTACCTGACCTATTGACAGCACTTCATAAAAATTACAATATATTATTTATTTAGAAATTAAACCTAATTTAGTCTTTTTATATTAAAAAAATTCAAATTATATGATTTGAGAGTTACCATGTTCAAATGGGCTCCATACAATAAGGGTGTTTGATTCTATTTATGTTTATTGAATAAATTTTTTGTATTTGTGTGACTGTAAAATTGAGAAAAACAATTAATGATGGCATTCATGACACACAGGTGTCATTATTCATCACATCAACAAGTTCCAAAATGAAACTTACAGAAATCGATACATACAAATGTGGGTAGGAGGCTTTTGTTGATAGGACGTCTATATAATAAAGTAAACCCAAACCAAATACATATAATAAAATACTTGGACCAAGTCACCAACAATTGTCACGACTCATGACCTAATTTTTTTTCATGTTCTTTTAAAGCTTTCCCAGTGAAAGGAACAAATAACTTACTAGCGAATATAATGGGCATAGTAAGTTCATATAAGTTGGAATTATCCCTGTGTATTCGAACCCAAACCTATTAACCATTAAGAACTTAAAACTCAAAGGGTGTCTTCCAGGCAAAGAAAGCATAAAAAATATATATATGTATAAACAATTTAAACCCAAATTTGAAGGAAAAAGAATCCTTTCCTTTACCGGACATTGTGTGCAAAGCATAAGAGACTTTGCTTGCCCTTCCAGTCCCCTGTTTGCCAGCTGATGGCATTACAACCTCCATAAACTTCCTCTGCAGGCTGGCCCTTCAAATAATGACCCGTCTTCATCAAACTTCGCATTCAAACCAATATCCAAGGAATTCCAAAGGATTCATTCCAGTATTCTGAAACAATGGATAACTTGGTTAAGCAAATGAGGTACTCTCTTATCACAACACAGCTATTCTTTATTAAGCTCTTCTACCATTAGAGGAATCAAAAGAACCTCATTCTATACTTTTTTTCTTGAAAAAGAGCTAAGAAATTCATTTTCTGTTCTCTCTCTCTCTCTCTCTTTTTTTTTTCATATCATTCTTCCCCTGTAAGTGGATTAGATGACTTGCTGTTTCCATGCTTTATATCCACAATATAGTAAACACAAGCCTTATCCCTGAATCCTTCTTCCAAACTATCAATGTATTGGTTCTTTTAATCTGTAGTTTTTCATGGTGATTTGAGGTTGCTGACCACTTTGTTAGAGTGAGTTTTTCTGGTGTTGGACAGGATAGCCAAGACCTCACCAGCGCAAGGGATAGAAGGATACCACCACAAAAGACAAATTCCTTCAAAGCAGGTATTAGTGGACATTTTGGGTTAAATATTACCATATCCAAAAACAAAATGAGGAGACAAAAGGAGGACAAAGTGATAAGTCCAGGAAATAAATAGCTCATCTAGAACCGATCTAAAACCAGGCAACTAACAAACAAGAATCCCCCATTCTGTGCCTTTATTGCTGGTTATGCATTGAAACCCAGAAAACATGTTTGGAGTATGTGAATGCAAAAGATAATGACCGTTTCCCCCTTCCCCACTCTTTTGTAGAAAGAAGGAAGAGCTGGTTCCAGAAACATTTTTCTCAATCACACCAAGCCATGCGGGATTATGATTCAAGTGATGGTGGTGAATTTGCAGCCTCTGTTGCCGCCACTGCATTTGCCATCAATTATCTTGAAGAAGCAGAGTTAGAAAACCAGAAAAAAATGAGAGAGAGACAGAAAACCACCTTGGTGGTCAAGGACAGGAGCAAAAAAGACAATGATGTAACTGGACCACAGGAAGCCACTAGAGCATCCAAAAGATCTTCAGGTAAGGAAACCAATGAGGAAATTCAGAAGTTGAGACAATTTTCTGCCTTCTGATACAACTTTTTTTTTTTCTTTTTTGATAAATGCCTTCTGAGACAACTTTCAATTAATTTTTACCCACGGGGAACGATTGCTCTATTGCAGATGATCCTTCTATGAAGAAACCAGAGGGAGTGGAGCGAAGCATGACGGATAGTGCTGCCGTCAACACACAGACACCAGAAAAGGCCGCTAGCAGAGTCCCAACGATAAAAAAGACATCAACTCTAGCTGATCAAATCTCGAATGAGACAAACAGCAAGAAACCAGAAAGTGCAGTAGATACAAAACCAAGGCCAACCCCTCCACCCAGCATAAAGCCTACACTATCAACAGCTGGAGATGAAAAGCATAAAGGGGACTCAACAAGACGATCGACCAAAGGATCACGAGTAGATGCCTGGGAGAAAGCTGAGACGGAAAAGATTAAAAAACGGTAGTTCATTTTTTAATTTACTTGTCTACTTAACTTTTCTGTTTTTAAACTTGAAGCAATTAGGGGAACGCAGTCCTACTCCCAGGGAACCGACCATGGGATTGGGTGCTAAATATTATTTAAAAGTTAAAGCAAACAAGAGTCCAAGATCACGATTCACCTCCTTTAAATAAGAAAGAGGGAGAAAAACTTTTAAATGTTTATAATTGAGGCCGCTAGCATTTGATTTTGTTCTTTTACTAATAAGCACAGATTTCAGGGATGAGAAAACGAAGTCCACAATTCTATCGTGGGAAAATGAAAAGAAGGCAAAAGCTAGACGCCAACTGGAAAGAAAACAGGTTTAGTTTTACTTCGAAATTTAAGTAAGAATATGGTTACTAGTTCTAGCAACTAATTGTCTACTTCTGCAGAGGGAGTTGGAGCAAAAAACACGAAGAGCATTGCATCATTTCGAAAACAAATTGGCAAGGATCAATCAGATTGCCGAGGGAGCAAGAGCACAAGCAGAGGAGAACCGAAGAAATGATGAATCCAAAGTGAAAGATAAGGCAAACAAGTTCAGGTCATCAGGAAAGGTTACTGGCAACTGTTGTGGCTTCTAAACATCACCAAGGCTGTAGCTCCCTTGACTTCAGGGAAAACACAATAATCTGTAAAACTTATTGGGATGTGTACATAATTCTTTCACCAATTGCGACTTAAAGAAATGATTGTAGCATCATTGAAATGTATTGTTTACATCATTACAAACACACAGAACAGTATTCGATCTTTGAATTACCTGCCCACAAGGAGAACATCTCATCCACCTGCAAACTATTATGCATGGGGAGATGTTCCCAATGCACGGGGGTAGTGTGTTGTGGGTAGACGTGGGCAGAGGGGGCAGGAGATTCGGAGTCAAATTTTATCATTCAGATTAATGAAATCACAGATTGGCATAAAAGATAAGTGCGTGGATTAATGTGGACGAACAAGCTGCAATTCACATACACATGTAGGTCATACAATGTACAAATAGATTACAATGTTCATGATAAGACGGTATAAATACTTGACGATGGGAAGAGGTCAATAACAACAGCTGCCCCTTTAATTTCAAGTGTCATGTTTGTCTGGAAAAGCTTAGGGCATAATAGCCAAACATGGAGAATAATGTGACTAACAATCCTGTGCCCTACAGAGTGTTGACAATAATTTAACAGCTTTAACAGTTTCTCTCATCCACGTCCAAGTAACTTCCATGGCAATAAGAAGATATTCCAAACTTAAGATGATGGAAATCTGCCACAACAAAAAGCAATCACAGGGTTAATTTTAACATTAAACTAGTGACAAATATCTATTAATTCAAACCATCAAATTAACTGATTCTTTCACTTTCAGAAGGGGCTTCAGAAACACAATTAGATAGAAAAACAGATTGGGCTGTCCTTCTGAGGAAAGGAATATGCTCAATTGAGATGGATCCAATGGATACAAATCATTGGGCAATTAGTTTTACTAAATCAGATTGGGCTGTCCTTGCATTTCCAAATGACCAATGCAACAAATCAGCATTAAAAAAGGGAGAAATTAAAATTGAAGTACAAAGTTTTTGTTCTTATATCAAAGCAGTAGCATCCATATATTGTTGCGTAATGTGAATGGCAACACAAAGAATTGAATAAATACCATGCAATTAAAATCCACATTCTCATGGAAGCTTTCATTCTTAACCTCTAAATAGTAGCACAAGTAGAGTTCCAAGTATTTACGTGCACAAAAGCCAGTAGATTTTTTCATTGAATTTTTAAGAGATAACTTATCTGCATGGAAAGAAACTTCCTTCTCTGCTTTAACTATACATAGGTCATATGTAGTTGAGATGCCTAAGTTACACCACAACAGGTTGTCCTGCTAATGCAAGTTGGCATGCAGATTATGACCAGGCATCCCCTAGGCAGCAATAACTAAATAGTATTCATTAAGTGTTGCAAAAGAAAAAAAAAAAAAAACCAAGACAATAAACATTAAACATTTAAATTGTGAAATACAAGTATCAAGCTTTATTACCAAAAAACTTAAGATACTTCTAGTTTGGGTATGGGTTTCCTAGATGGTTCACTTGGTGAAGAAGTCTAAACAACCTAAGAATTTTGCATTCTGGCAACATGGTTTGCGATACAAGAGGCCCACATGATCCTGCCAGCACTTCTTATTCATGGGGAAAGTTTCACTTCAAAACCCTAACCATGTGGTCAAATTTTGGCTAGAGGAGCTAGGGGTAGACCAAAAAGGACTTGGGTAGAAGTAGTAAGTAATGATTTAAGCACTAATAATTTAACGGTGGATATGGATTTAAATAGAATGGATTGGAGAAGCAGGATTCATGTAGCCAACTCCATATAGTTGGGATAAGGCATGGATGATGATGATAGTGAAAATTTGGGTAGCTAGTATAATTAGAGGAAAGCTTCAATAGAAGATGGGATACAGGGTTAAGTGGGCCAGGGGAGTGAACATGTCATTGATCCAGAAGATCCCCTTTTATTCTAACTCTTATGTCTCTACATCTCTACCTCTCATCCTTCTATTCAAATTCTACCTGTCCAAGACTGACAGAGAGATGGGGGGAATAATAATGAAGCAGGCAAGAAAAGAGATAGAGATGTGAAAGTTTTATGTATACATGGTACAATCAAGATTAATATAAGTGATGACTTGTATGCTTAAACTCTAGACCCCAATGCAGTTGGCTAGAAGTTGCCAGCCAAGCCAATGGCCTTGGTTATGCTTTAAATTTATGCTGCATGGCAAACAAGCAGATGTGGGGTTTCATCATTCTGGGTCCAATCAAAGATATCTCCAGAAAAACAGGACCCGTAGAAGATACTAACCACCCAATCTCTTTTACATCTTGAGAAGTGCAGTAAAACATGATAAATGATCATGACCCACAAAAAAGAAAAAAAGTGAGAAATGGTCATGGAAGAAAACAAAAAAGGCAATTGAAATCTGATTAGATTTATGCAATAGGAACATTTTGAAGACAAAAGATCAAGGCCAGATCCATTTGGTTATTAGGCCTTAGTCCCCCACTGAATGGCAATTTTAGATGCAGCATGCAGGAAGGTTTCTTTCTATGCATTTATCCCAAGATTATTCCAATATGAAATAATCTTGTACACCACCAGTATCAGAACCCATTTTTAAATGACAAAATCCAGTGTTGGGAAAATCATATTATGGTCTCTTTCAAACATATTGATGAAAGAAAAATTTCCTGCTGGATGGTTAGAGAATACCATGTTCCAATTTTAAAAATCACTCCAACTCAGAAGCCTCCTCTGAATCAGACAAGGGCAGAAGGGTGCAGATCCCAAGCATGTGTCCATTAAGGCATACATAATACTCAATGCAATCTTCATAAGAGCCCAATCTGTCACATGCACTGCGTGGTATCATTTTGGCCTGTAGCATGCTCCATAGCTTTGCCTTGCAATATGGGCACACTTCTGTTGGGTGAAGCTTGGCCTCCCTATCTATCAGCATCTTTCGAACTCTTGAAACTGAAAATGACATGAAAACACCACGGAAGAATCCCACATCACCCTCCTCCCCCTGGTCAAGATGTTCACAGGGGTCAGAGACATATAAAACATCTGTTCTGCATTGGGGTAAAAGAAAGCTTTTCCCTGATGTCCTAGAAAACCGAGTCCTGTAGACAAAGTGGCCAGGGATGTGATTCATGTGAATGCTTTTAAAAAGGCCACCCTTCTTGCACCCTGAACAGTAAATGAGCAGTTTCCCAAGTGCCTTCCAGTTCCCATCAACACTGTGACTCCCACTAGATTGCAAATCAAGCATCATCTTAGGGGCTCGTGTGCGGCAGAACTCTTTCCATAGCACCCGCTTTGCAATGTCATCAAACCATTTGCATACACAAGATAGGGTGGCTATCAATCTAGGATTCCAATTCAATTGTTGAAAAACCAGGTAAATCACATCTTCATTAAGGTGACCTTTAGTGCATACACAGCTTGTCGAGTGCATGCAACGATATTGCTTTGTTACAATCATTGTCTTGTGCCTAATAGGGTGAGAAAGACAACATAAATTATCAACAGTGCATGCTGGATCTAGTGGCTAGGATCATTTGTTAACCTGGCTACCAGTGATTGTAGGAAAGGTCTCCACCAGAGTCACTGCAAGCATGAGAGTCCTTGATCCTGACAGACACATAAAGTTAAGTGAGGTTAAGTAAGTTTAGGTGCAATTGAAAGATTTACTCATTTACACTATAACTGGACCAAATGGAAATGGACGTCTCCTAGTGAACCCAAAATTAACAGACCAATAACAAGACATACCATGATTACCGTCCGCAGATCGGATGAACTCCTACAAGAAACTGAACCTCATTTATTTTCAATCTGCTTACCCTTTTATTTACTTCAACTGCCAAATGATAGAGTGGAAAGATAAAACAGGAATTCTATTTATATACTTGGGATAAGGTTTGGTTCAGTTTGGTTTTGAGTTCAAATGGCAATTACGTATGATACACAAACTGCAGGTAAGACATCATAAGCCAGCTTTCTTTTCGGGAAAAAAAATTCTCTCCCATCCTTCAAAATGTATGTTGATTGTTGACACTTGAAATACATCTTTTCTAGAATAATCAAGTAGTGAGAGAGCAAAAATGTGCCAAAGCCCTTATATAGAAATAGCAGTTAGACGATGTGGTAACTCAGAAGCCGTGTACCAAGGGTTTATACTTTGGGTTCCGGGGAGCTATAACTTAACAGATTCTGTCATGAGTTTAGCCCTTCTATTCCAGTTAGAGAACCGGTTTCGTGGTTTAGTATAAAAACAACCGCTGTTCTGGATCAGAGATATTAGATCGTGTTCGAGCTTAAACATTTGGTTCCACTTACAGAATGCATTTTTCGTTTACATCCCAAACCACAGATTCAGGGAACCTCAACATTGACAATGGGTAGCATTTTACAAAATCTACAGAGATACCACTAGCATGTAACTCTTTATCGCGCATAACTTGTTTTTCGCCAAATCTACTCCTTTTACTTAAACAATGTCAAACATTTTCCCACCTGCAAGTAAGATCTGCATTTCTTTGCTCCCCATTATTGCCCAGAATTTAATTTAATTTCAAGCAAACAGAACGATGTATTAAAGCACAATCCAGATCAAATCAACCAAAGCACTCTTGTTAAACACAAAAGGAGAAAAAAGATAAGAAAGACAAGAAATTAATTTCTACAAGGGCAGATTAGCATAATCCGACACTAATAGTTGAATAAGAAAAGAAACCGCACAAAAGTCGAATTTCTCACCTCACCTCAGCTGAAGAAGTTATCTTGGGATCTTCTTAAAACCCTAGATAGCGAAGAAAAGGGTTCACCGTGGAAGAAGAGAAACGCAGGTTAGGGTTTTAATGGAAGACAGAGGGCAATTCAAAAAATCAAAACTATCTGAGAAATTTATACAGAGCCTCGCAATTCGAACATGGAGCAAAGGGTATTTTCGTCCGAGACGGCAATTAGTCACGATCTTGCTGGTTACTCCACTCCCTGATCAGATATCGTGGAACTGACTGAGAGACAAAAGAGGGTCTCGGACTCTCGGCCTCAAGAGAGAGAGAGAAGGAAAGAACATCCATCTCCAATCTATACGTCGAAACGACGAAGATGATAGTATAGAAGCGGAAGCAGAGAGATCAGTGGTTACAAAACGTCGTTTGACCGTGGGATTGGAATCGTGAAGGTGCTATCAGGAGATTTCGGTACATCACGTGTCTTGCAGGGCACATGCTTTCTGAATCATTTCTCTGAATTTAAGAAGAAAGCTCTTTGTCGACTCAGCACAGGCATAAATACGGAAGAATGAGAGCAAAGATAAGATGTGTGACGGCGCACCCGCCCGCAAGGAGGCCTCCTTTATGTGGATGATTTCCTTGCGAGGACGCTATGGTGATTGGTGAAGGAAGCATCTGATTTGATTGCGGTAGTCCATATTATGGTAAAGGGCGTAGGGTTTAAACAGGCGCGAAAATCATAAATTCTTTATAGGTGTTGCCACGTGGCAAAATAAGTCAGGTGCATCGAGACAACCTTTCGGTGTCTGAAGAGACCATTAATTCCCTATTAAGAAATTGGGTAAACAATTAATTAACTAAACATGCCTCGTATGTTGCAAATTATATGTTGCCACTTGCCACTAGGCATAGGAGCATAACAGTTGATTGGCTCCACGCAAATGGCTGACTACGTCCGTAGACATAGACCGATTGTTAAAAAAAATAATTTACTTTTACAGTAACCAAAAAAGAATTAAATCTATATAAGGAAGTGCAGAAATTTTCTTTTCTTTTTTTATAGTTTTTTAACTTTTTTTAATTTCATGTTATTTTGAAATAACTAATGAGATGCATTTTTTTTTTCAATAATCACTTCTCCTAAAATTTTTCCTAAACTACCTCCTTTACTATTTCCTACTTTCTCTAAAATTATCTCTAATTCATATTTATCTTCTAAATTATTTCTAATTCTTATTTATCTCCAAAATTATCTTTAATTTAGTAGAGAGTTTCTCTTTTAAATTATCTCTAATTCCTATTTATCCTCTCCCCTACTTTTTATTTATACCTATCGAAAAAAAGTTCGGATTAAGAATTATTTAAATATTCTAACAAAATTATAAAATAACTTTAAAATATTTATTAAAAACACAAAAAATAATTGTATATTTTTACAAAATATATCACGAAATTATGTACTAACAATTTAAAATATGTTTTTCCAGATTATTGATTTAAATGTTTTTCAAATATTTAATAATATGTAGTAGCTTTAAATAAATAAAATTCACAACAAAAAATTTAAAATATTTTATAAATTATTTAAATAACTAAATATTTATCATAACTAGATTTTAAATAGTTCAAATAACGAAATTATGTAATAAATTTAAAAAAATTCTTCAAATCAGAAAATTAATTATAACATAATATTGAAATTAATAATAATTTAATATATTACAAAATTATGTAATAATAGTATAAACTATGATTTTATGGATAAATAGATTCAATAAATAATTAATATTTTACATATTACTTAAGTATTTAAATAACAAAATATTTAACATAACTATATTTTAAATAGCTGAAATAAAGAAATTATGTAATAAATTTAAACAAAAATCTGAAAAGTAGAAAAATAATTATAACGTGATATTAAAATTCATAATAATTTAATATTTTCACATAATATTGTAAATAACTAATTTCACTTATATCAAGTAATAATTCGAGAAAATAACTTTCAAAAAATTAATATTTATTGATAATAATTTTAAACTTGTAATATCTATTTATTATATAATTATATATAATAAAATTAAAATTTATTGTATTTCAGTAATTATTTATTGTTTTTTGTGATAAATGTGTTTTCAATGATTATGTATAAATTTATTTTATTTTGTTATTTAATAGAAAACTTTCAATAATTATTGGAGATTAAACTGGTATTATTGAAATTTTTAAATTTAATTTATTGTACTTATTGTATTTTTGTTATAACTTATTGATTAATATTTATTAGAGATTAAACTATTATTTGAAATTATACTATTTATTGGCTAAGTTAATATATTTTTAGTACTTATTGTTTTTTTTTTCATTATCAATATATTTTCAACAATTGTGTTTTTTCGCTATAAATTTTCAATAATTATTGGAGATTAAACTATTGTTATTTATCAGATATGAGACATTAATTTAGCTGAAATTATGAGTGTTCATGAGTTGGTTTGATCTGGTTGTAGGCTATTTGGCCCAACAAATTGACCTAGTAAGCTGAAAACTGACTAACCTGATGAGGGAAGATTTGGCCCTCCACTGACATCATGACACATGGCATCTCATAACAGCTAGATGACACCCTGACATCACCTAGGCGATGACTTGCCTTAGCCAAAATGACGGAAGTCCTAGCTAGCAACTACCTCTGCCGACCTAGTGGAAACCTAGTTGGTGACTTCGTCCACAACTATGGCAGACCTGTGGTACCTCGTCAATACCGGTCAAAATGACCTCGACGTGAGGAGCGACCTGTCTCAAGGGCTTGCTGACCTGATTGAAATCTAGGTGACAACCTGCGAGACATGCTCACCGATCAATTCTGCATGCACCCCGTCACTCCTAGGTTTCTCGGAAGTCAGCTCCCACACTGAATGTTCCGGAGGAAACCAATAAGGCGTAAAGACTGGTCTACGTGCACGACTACCTTCAAGGACTTCATATTAGTTAGGCACGCATTCCCGGAGATCTCGGACGTGATGTGTGAAGCCCATGCCAAACAATGCCTATATAAGGGCCTTACCTCCAACCTCATAAGGTACATGCGCAATTTAGCTATCATAGCTCTCTATCTCTTTTGCTTTTAGCTCTCTAAAAAATCTCTAGCTCGCTAACTTAAGCATCGGAGTGCCCACCCCTGGGTAAAGCAACACGAGCATTCTAACACAGTCTTTATGCAGGTCACCCCAGTAAGCTATACAACTCGTCACTGTTCAGCTAGGCATCCGAGTCACCTGCCAGCCGGGAGCTGCCGAAGCACGCATCATCATGACCTTTTGTGAAAACTGACCCACTCAAGTTGTATCAATTTGGGTCGACTTTTTGGTTTGGTTTCTCGATTCAAAATATTTAAACTAAATTTAATTTAAAAATTATAATGCAATTATTAAAAAATAAATTTAAAATTATATATATGATATAAAACATTTTAGACTAAGAAATATGAGAAAATTTCCACTTTTCTATATTTAAAATATAAAATATTTATATATATCCATGGTTAAGTCATTCAGTTTTGGTCGGTTTACAAATGGCCATAGTGAAATTGACCCAATTTGCTCGAATTGGGAAATTTTGAACAAAAGCTGACCTAAAATACTAGAAACCGACCAACTATAGTCGAGTTGATCAGGTTGGTCGGTTTCATAAGTTTGATGAATAAACGTTACTGAAATTAATTATTATTATTTTTGCATTATAAAAAAATTATTAAAAGTAGTATATAAAATATGAATAATTATTAATAATTTTAGAAGTTGAAAATATAAAATTTTTGTATACTCATATGTGTTTCTATTAGGGTCATTTACTAGAACACACCTTATAGTTTTACATATTTACTTAAACCTACCTTATATTTTTTATTTTATTAAAACATCCCATATATTTTATAACTTATTTACTTAATCAACATTTCATTAAGGAGTGTTTGTTTTGCCATTAGGCCAATGATTTTTTATTCAAAAAATACCCTTAACACTTTTTTGTATAGAAAACAAAATGGACCAAATATAGCCAATAGAGTGGTTATCCGTGTCTTATTAAGGGCAAAAATGGTATTATTATTTTTATTTTATTTTAATTAAATTTATTCAAATGAACATTAAGGTCAACACCGTCAATTTCCACTGTCATCTAATGGATGATTGATTAAATACATTACAAATTATAAGTGTTGTTTTAGTAAAATGCTAACTATAGGGTAGATTTTAGTAAATCTATAAAACTATATATAAGGAATATTTTAATAAATAACCCCTTCTATTATTCAGCTTTCGTTTAATAAATCCCGTGCATTGTACGTGTCCCCGCTATCAAAGTATGAAAAGAGAGGAAAAATCATTTGGACCACTTAAAACCGTAATCAAATAAACAAATGCTAGGTAGAACGGATATAGGTTTACATGACCGTATCCTAAACGAGTTCGGATTGCTGACCAGTGACCACGATACATTGTTGGCCATGTGCATTTTGCCGCGCATATGGAATATTTGTTATACCTTAAAACACTGATATTCTCGATGTATCGTGATCAGCAGATTCAGACTTGTCCTAAACACTCCGGATCTAGTGTGTTTGGACTCCAAGGGAAATTTTTACTCGAGTCCAATTACATTTCGACACGTCATGGGTATTGAGTTTGAGTAAACCTGAAACCCACTGAAATTGATCTTTCTAAAAGCTTTTTTCTTTGTTAAAAAATAAATAAATAAAGGTAAAGCTTTCAACCTTGAATTCAAAAACCTTTCCAGCTTCCATCTCAACCCTCTTTTCAAATCTGAACTCGCTTAGCAGAAATCATCAGCAAGGAATTGTTAGTATGGACAAAATCATATATGTTTAAAAAAAAAAAAAAGAAATTGCAAAAACGGTAAACAGCACAAAAAATTAACCTTTTTTGGACCAAATTGTCCTTTTTTTAAAGTTTCAATGCCACTGTTCATCGTCTACCTCATTCGAACGTAACAGGAATGAGATACCTTCTATTACTTTGTTTTATAAAATAAATTAATAAGCATCATCTTTTCCAAAGAGAAGTAGCGACATATGGAGCAAAGTGGAATTTAGACAAGTAAATGGTTCATGCCCCCGGATTCTCTACTTATCCTACCTTTTGGGATTCAGGATGCTGTTTAGAAGGCTCGAAAAAAAAAAAAAACAAAAACAAAAGATCTTCCATCTCCTGATAAAAAATGTTTTTGGGAGAATTATAGGCACAGTAGGTGTCGGCTCGGAATTGATGCCCGTTCATGGGCGGGCATTTGTACATAAAGTGTGGGTTGTTGCTATTTTAA